TGTGCTTATAGAGATTTAGATAAAAAAATAACATTTCAGTGGTAGATTGAGTTGCAACAGTGATTTGAGGGGGTTGGGAACAGGAGTACAGCTGGGAGGGGGCAGGGGTACAACTAGGAGGAGGGGGAGAGAAATTACACATTACAAGTAACATGCACTCATCTGTACGTGTAGACTTGGACAAAATCCCCACAGTTACACGAATGCATCCCAAGCAGACCAGCGGCGGGGGGCGGGGCGACCATTCCAAGTAACGGACGTTCTGAAGTCGAGATTCAGTACGGCTCGGCACCGTGGACATCTGAGCACCCGTTACTTGGATTTTCGATTTCTTGTGCCCTCCGACACTTTGTCCAGTCCCTCTGTTCTTCTAAGGTCCGAGCTCTTTTCTAGTCATTATTCCAGTCCTCGCCTCTCTGTCACCATCGCTGTGACTTAAACCACCATTCTAGTCCACTTGTGCCTCTAATCCGAGGAGACATACCATCAAAATCTCAGTTCACATTGCGGAACCGGACCGAGCTAAGTTTTAAAAGTTGTCTCTCGGATCGCCCATGTGTAACATTTATGAATGATAACTAAGTTTTCACCAAATTAGCTGATGTTACGGATGTATGCCTGTTTGGTGTGTTCGCGTTTAACCCAAAAAATAGCTGGGCCATTATTTCTCCTTCAGTTCGTGCCAATTTCAGGATCTCTTACGCGACAACAGCGATGAATCGCGGTGGTGGACGTGATCGATTGTAAGTTTTCCGGTCTTTTTCGGCATCGTCCATTTTGGTTCATAAGCATACCTGACCATTGGCCGGCCTTTGCGAGGGCCAGTGTAGTGGCCAGGAAGTTAATTATTGCTTTTTGGCTGGCTTGGTTTGAATTTTCTCCTGTCACTGCAGCGTAGATGCTCTGATTCCCAGCTATTTTTCTGATATGCCTTGATAAGCAGTAGTTCAGCACCTCTTCGATTCCAAGTAGTTGATTATAATCTGTCAGCGGCGTATCGTTGCACTTGGAGCGTGGCGTTCCATCGTAAAAAAGATTGTAATTGCCTTCAGTTTGTTTCAAAAAGATGCATTTTTGCGATTTTTTTGGCATTTTGCTCGGATACTATGTTAGTTTTGCAGGTTATCAAGGAGGGCCTCTCTCGTGACATTTCAGTCTGTGTTGAGTTAAGATACTACTTAATGGACCGAAACGTCTTATCTCGCTTTTACCTCCTTTCTTACGCTATTTTTTCAGTCCCTAATTCCTTTGCACCTTCACTATCTGCGCTTCTGTCGCTAACGGCGCTGGTTTTTCCGGCAGATGCTTCTAACTAGAAGAATTTCAGACTGGTCGCCAGACTGTCAGGAAACATCCTCTCAAAATTCCAGTCTTCTAGCTTCTCATTTTCTCGAGTTAGCAACTTACCCGGAAGAAACTTTCACGGAGTGTCAACCTGGACGCTGCAATCTGCTTAGCTTTAAGAGGTGGACAAGCCCGCCTTATGCACTTGCTGTGAAAGAGTTACTTGGAAGTAACTCAAGTAGTAACGCTTGTAGCATCATTCACCTGGCAACTGGTAAGACTTTTAATGGCTCTTTCCCTTGATTTTTTCTCAGAAGCAAAATAAAGGCAGTGCTTTCGATCCAGTTTTACAGCTAAGGGATGAAACACAGACTGCATCCTAACATCTCTTCTTGCACATGATGCTTATGTTGATCATACATCTCTTACTGTATTATTCCATCTCTTACCACGTACCAATACCACATTGCCATGTAGAGTTGTGGCGAAATTTGTTGACATGTTGATGGAGTTCAATTACCTGTCTTCGTCATGGCTAGTTACCTTCTCTAATCTACGCTATTTCTTTCCTTCTGAATTCCTCCGTACCTTTGCCATTTGCATTTCCTGGGTCAACCTGAATGCTGCAATCTGCTTACCAGTGCACCATGCCCGTCAGCCAGTTCTTGTTTCTGGAATTTGAAAGCACGCTACAGATAACTAACATTCAACGGTATTGCAGCACTGGAGGACGAAGCCGTGGTTTTGGAGGTGGAAGTGGAGGAATGTCTTCAAGCCGGGGTAGCTCACGCGGCTTTGGTGGTGGCCGAAGTTTCGGTGGCGTTGGTGGTGGCCGCATTGGCGGTTCTGGCAGTGGTGGCCTGAGTGGTGATAGAAAATATGGCTTCAGCGGTAAGTTATATGATTTTTTGTGATTCGAATTTCGTGGCTGACTGTTTACTTGTGGGTTTGGGAGTTATCAAAATTGGCATTTGATTTCTGTAAAGCCCGAGTCCGGTTGTGCGGAGGAGAGTCCGGGAGGGGGAGGGGGGCGG